ATCACTCTTTTCACTACTTCTTTACACTTTTCTGATGTCTTTGAATTCTGGGTTACCCACCGGTCGGTATGAGCGTGTACAACCTTCATCTGTGAGTGAAATGATCCAGTTTCTCGGAAAAAAAGAAGAAAATCAAATGTGGTGGATATAACTAACATCTAAGATATATTTGTAGACCTCTAGTATTTATTATAAGCAGTTTATTTATATGGGTAATTATAATACTCAACTTAGATTACTGAAGTGTTGGAGTAATCCATGCTTACAATCTCATATAGACTCTTTTTCTCGTCTCAATATTACCAACAATACAAGTTCTTCCTATTCTACTACAAGAAAATAAACTTATACGCCCTCAACTCAGAGATCTAATATATTTTTTTACTTATCTTCTTGGTTTAATAAAACATTCTTTATCTAGCAGTTTTTACGACTAAGCAACCTCTAAAGGCTTTTTATCAACGACTTTCATCAATACCTCCTCTAGAACATGACTCACCAGCATCATCTCCGTATGAATCTAAGTATGGTATGTCAGAAACTATATTAAACGAGAGATTTTGATGATTCTCTAACGAATTTGTGTCTTTTATTAAGCTGTAGAGCTTGAAGATCATAAACAGCTGATAAAGTACAATCCAAATGACATTCATACTTTAAAATATACTAGCAATGGACTGCCGCTTCCAAACTCCAGTACTTTGAGTCCAAAGCCTTTAAATGAATACGTATGTCTTGACTGCTATTATAGAACGTCCAAGAAATACAATTTTGATAGACATATGGGCATCCACAAAGGAAAAAGATCTGTGTATAGCTGCGGAAAATGTCAAAGAAGCTATACTACGAAATACAACCTTTCCAGACATATTGGCCAAAGCAAATGTAGATAGCTTATGCGAGCCTTTATATTCAAATTATGTCATATATATATATATATATATATCTTTTGTACAATATCTTTACATGTATTCTTAATAAATCAAAAGTTTTTCTTCATACTCTGCATACTTTTATTATAATTAAACCATAAACTAGCTGAATATATATATATATAACATATTACATCTCTTCAAATAAGATCATCAAACCAAAGTGATAGATACATAAACCACAGGTAATGATATTAAAGGATACCTTTTTTTATAGAGTATTTAAAGACTGGTACAGCCATACAATTCTTCAATTCAAATATAAATTGGCGACAAGCAATAAGACGAGAGAGAGAGAGAGAGGATGTGTACATATGGTACACTGCTCATCAAACATATATCTGACTATAAGCTTTAAAACAGCATATCTTCATTTGAGAACCATTAGACAGATAATTAACAAAAACATGGGGCTGAGCAATTCGACATCAGATGATATGCAATTATTATAATAATTGTTACTACTATTTATAGAGAAAAGGAGGTAAGAGTAGGAGGAGCTGGAGCAGAAGCTTACTTGGGCAGTGAATTAATTTTGACACACTAGCTTTAAAGGAAATACTATTCAGTAAGCCATGATACTGTAACAGACTCTGTAGAGTAACCATCAAAAAGGCAAAGGTGTGAGAACACAGAACCAAGAATTATATTTGATTTTGAGAAACCATTCTGAATAAATAAATATCTTGTAGCATATTTCCCACCCTTTTGACCTCTCTATATCACCATCTAGTTAGCTTATATAATGTCCGTTTATAAGAATAATATGATATCGACTAAATTTCTTCTAATAATTGCCTCAACAAAAATGGAAAATGAGAAGATAGGATTAGGCTTCATTATACAAACTATATAAAATCCATGTATACACTGGATATGATGCCAGTACTAAGATTGTATAGTAAATCAGTGGTCTTTTATTGAGTATAAAAGAGAACATAAATAAAATTGAATTGAAAATGAAAATGGAAGTGAAGATAGAGATAAAAGGGAAAGTTGAAATAAAAAGATAAAGAACATAAATAAAGAAGTTGTACAAAGGAAAGGATATATATGAACGTAACTAAAAGAGCATAGGTTATCATAGGTCATTAACATTTGCGCTGCTTGATATGTCTTTTAAGATTGTAGTTTTTAGTGTATTTTTTTGGACATTTAGGGCAGCAAAACAAACTTCTGTTGCCCGAGTGGGTTTCCAAATGTCTAGCAAGATTAGATTTCTTATCCGTTTTATACAGACACTTAGGGCATATGTGCCTCTTTGTAGGGCTTAGACCGGAAGCTCTGGTGTTTTGAGACGATGGATTATGAGGATCATATTGTACTTGTTGTTGGGCTGTTTCCGGCTGATAATCAGAATCTTGAAAAAGACCATACTCATTATATAACTATTCAAAAAATAATTTACTGTGTAACCCATTACGTACCATTTTCATCGTGGCCTTGAGAAGATCCTGGGGAAGTTGGACCAAGCGGTGGCAACGATGGAGAACCCTGAAAATGCGGCTCTACATTAGCACCAGGGATGGGAGCAGCTGAAGGTTTTCTTAGTTAGCACTACTTGAATATGTATCCAAGCCTAAAGTTGAAACCTCTCTAAATTTTAATTTGTGTGTTTAAGAACAAATGAATACCTAATATTCCAGGTATATGATTCTTGAACTGGTCCCAGGACAGGAGGCAAGTACTATCCTGTTGTGTACGAGGCTCATAGTTTTGGAAAGGGTATGCTTGCTGGTGTGTGCTATTTCCATTAAGACACCCTATACAAAGATTTGAGTGTGTATTCCATCAAGGCGCAAGTAATTTATTCTTAATAAAAATTACCGTAATCAAGCCACTCTTGGTCTGAAACACTAGGGGTCTACAACAAAGAAATGTTTTAAGCAGCTGGCTACGTCCACCGCATTTGATTTTTTTCTTTTTTTCCGAGAAACCGGGTCGTGTCACTTACGGATGAAGGCTGTACACAATAGTACTGACCGGTGGGTAGATAAAAACGTGAAGACATCAGAAAAGCGGTAAAGAAGTGGTAGAAAAAAGTGATATTGGGATTGATAAGAGAGAATAAGGATGATTTTTTTTCGAATCTAATATCCTTTTTATACTTGTAGAATTATTTATATCAAAGGTTACATAGTAAAGACAAATGTCCAAGAAGTGTTTGCTAAAGTAACACAAAGATTCTGGGATTCATTTTTAGTATCTTAACTGATCCTTGATTGGCTGCTCAAAAAAGAAAAAAAAAAGAAAAAAATGAACGCCTTTTTTAATTCTTCGTCAAATATTAAATATATAACCAACTCTCTTTAATTCTAACTACTTGGATTTTATACTTCTTTAATTACACTTCTTGAGATACATACACATGTTTTCTTTATTTTATTTTTAAAAAAACCCCGAAACCTTATTAAAACATAGGTTCTTTACTTTATTCTGTAGTACTAGAATATACAGCTACTATGGGATTGACTATGGGAATAAAATTGCATTCAATATGTTGATAGCCAAAGTTAACGGTACAAGTAAATATTATATATAAGAAATGTATTTTTTTCTATAGAGCCCTATGAGTACTCAGCATGACACATTATAACAGCTAGTGCTAGTATAAGTAAAACGATTGTTGGTTCAAATACAGTGCTGTGTATTGTTAATCCTCACAAGGACTTGCATTATTTAAGCTATAGTCTTCTTTACTGTAGTTAAAGACAATACACAAACATTCAAACAAATAAAATCCACTTTGAACAGCTTGGAATTCAAGACAGTACGATATGTATATCATTATAGCAAGCTTAATATTGTTTAAAATGTAATCCCATTATTTAACTTGCAGTGGGAAAGTTGAGACCAGCAAACTTTTTCATATGAAATTAACTTTATTAAATATTGAAATTGCTAGGTGTTGTATTAAAATCACATCGATAGACAGTGAAGTATCTACTTGTTCAAAGCACAGTGTATTACACAAAAGTAGCATAACATGGTCTGTGCGCTATAATACTACCAATTCTACATAAACGTAAGCTCAAGTTTGAGGGAATTTTTTTTTCAAACGTTGGCAAAAAATCTAAAGTAGTGTGTCTTTAAACAGACTGGGGGCACAAAGCTTTACAGTATTATATATACATTAATGAGTCATATCTTCTCCAGCCAAATTGGGTCTGAAATGACTCCTCCATTTCACAAAACCTAAAATACTATCACGACAAGATAGCTTGAAATTCAATACAAAACGCAAACATATTCTAAATAGCTACAAGACTCAAAAGGAGCTATTCATAGTCTTGTCTTTTAAATCATATAAAAGCCTTTTCAAGACATTTGTAAATTTTTGCTCTTCATAGTCCATAGATATGTGTTCTAGTGTGCGTCTGTGTGTGTGCGTGTGTTTATTAAGAAAATGACTTTGGAAAAGAAGCTTAGCTCAAGACACTGCACTGAATTGTTCCCTAGACATGGCTTGAACAAAATCAAAAAGTAGGGTGAGAAAAATTGAGCATCTAAATTAAGTCAGAGGAGCTCATTTATGATAAACTTGACTCATCCGTAGGTTATATAGTATAATTTACTCAATTTATTTTAAATTCCATACACCTAAGCGCCATAAACGCCATATATAGCTTATAAGAAAGGTTTACTTGACAATGTACACAAACATGAAACCAATTTGTTGCAGTCAAGCGTATGTGTAGCATTGGATAATTGTCAATCAGTCTTTACCTCTTTAATGTTCCATTTTATCAAGGCTTCTTCCTCTTTTTTGTTAAATAATAATAATAGATAGTGTTAACGAGTAAAGAATAGTGTAATTGGTTTCTTTAAAGGCTATAAAGAGAAAAAACAAAAGACCTACAACTTGTATTGATATCTTTATTAAAAAGTTACTCAGATAATACGAATGTTTTGACAGGCTAACTAGGATATTAGCGCTTCTTTTCTCTTTGGTGGATGGAAGTTAATCCTACAGACAGTTATTATTTAACCCTTCCCTACTGCTTTATTCTGATTGTAAAGCAATTACACTGTTTACTATCTATTATTATTATGTATATGACTTGGTATAATATTGGTATATCAAATTATTTATAAAAGTATAACATTTTAAGGCAAATATATATATATATCGTTTAGCACTACTAACTTCCAGTTTTTGCTTTAAGATATATAGGCTAGGTAGACTGGCATCTTCAGCACGATTGTATTAAGAATAAATAACCGTACTATGCAAAGAGAGAATAGTCCGTTTGTTTAAATTTATGAAACTCTTTTAAATGTTTCATAGTTGTCTTAATAACTAAAAGTTTACTCATATAAATTCATATGCTACATGTTGAACCAATTGATCTTTAACTTTATACATTTCTTTATTACTTAATTCAATTCGATACGTAATTACCATCTTGCACAATATGTGCAAGATTCATTAATTGACTCGATACTTAGCTTATATATATTATGATAACAAGATGTTTGATAGCTTTACTGCTTATATAGCTATAAGTTTTATGTAAAATAATATTCAGGATGCTTGTTTTTTGTTTGAATACAATTACTTTGATATAAGTTGCCTACCATATCAATTTCTTTTCTTTCGACTCTTATTTTAAATATGTTTGAGATAAACAAGGTTTTTTTTACACATGGCTTCCTCTACTACCAATCTAAATCCAAATCCTCATCCACTTGACTTCTATCTACTTCTATAACACACTGTCAAAGCAACTCATATTTTGAGTGTCAACAAAGACTCAAGCTCTCTCATAGATGTGGGAGGAACCAAATTACTTCATTCACAAATCTGGCATAATGAACGCTTCCCAGGAATTGTTATTTTTCTCGAAGTTATCCCCCATGGTTTTGACTCACGTCAAGCTCTTTGAGCTTTTATATCAGCAGCATTTCACTTGATGTCTGGATCCCTTTTCGAAGGACGGCAATAAACTTCTTTGTGAGACTAATGTTTTGTCTACAGACTGTACAGAATTTACAAGTGCAGTTCAAATAGGAATTCACTTTCCTGACCATAACAACACTATTTGTGGTGCTATTTTCCTCACTGTAGATAATCAAGTCCAGAAACTTACGCTATTGCGGCTGCCTGCTGTAGATAAACAGGAGCATATCGATGATATTCGTGAAATTCTGGCAATTTATGGACGAATTCTGGATGTAGGTATTTGCCAGAAACCTAAGTGCAATACCTTTATTATCCCAGGATATGTCATTATACAAACAGCCCACTGTAATCCCGACTAAATGGAACAGGATTATGAGTGATTAACCCATAGTATTCAGCGGCGTAACACTGATTATTAGTTCTATGTTGTCACTTGCTTCCTTCCAATATGATGTAGGTACTGCCACGGAGATGGTTATGACTGCTCCAACTTTAATACTCATCCCACTTTTCAACGTGGCTTTTGGCTGTGTTACGAAAATGGACACGCTAAACCCAACTGGTTTCATGGTACTGTCCGTCACATTCACCCCCAAATGTACCATAAGTCACAGTCTCCTGGTTCCATGGATGTGGACTTTGTGAGCCATAATGCCTTTAATCCGAACCCTATTTTTGTCGCTGTCTCGGTCGATACTAACAGCACAGAGACATGAAGTGATCATGCCTCGTTAATCCTGCAAAAGGTTGTCCAGATTGGAAACAACCCGATATTAACATTGTTCACCAATGAAGTCCAATCAGAAAATCCAGACCTCTCCGCAGAGTAGCTCACAGTGTTCCCACCTCCAACCTTGGTTAATTCTTCTAACCATCTACACAGAACGGTGACACTAATTCCATGTCAATTAACCTTCCTGTCAAACACTAATATGTGGGCGATAAAGTCGAGGACATGTATACATTACATATCTCTAAGAGCCCAAAGACGGAAAATGCCTTTCAGATTCATACAGCACACTAAATGTTTTGTCTCTCATCATTTTTCCGAATAAAAGATCCCAGCTCTTACCGTGAATGTGATTATTGTTTGCAGAAACTACAGTAGTCTTAGAAGGACATTTTAACCTGATCATCGTTCCAACTATATATGTTATCTTTATTAATGCAACTCTGACCTCATTGTCCTGTAAACAATCTATATCAAACCTTCCATTTCCACAATTGTCCACACTTAATTTTATGCATCTTCATCCCTTTGAAAATATCATCGTGGGCATGTTTTCATGACTCTCCACATTATGCCTACAGAAATACTAATTCCTGAAGAGAAGAGAGCTCTCCTAGCCCAGATAAGTTATACCTCTCATGTATTTATATCTTTCTATGTACCAGCAGCCTATTCTTCTGCCAGAAATTATACGGCTCGCCATACTTTCTTTACAGACTTTCTCTCCTTTCTCACTTTTTACGTTCAGATATTCTTCACTCATACTGTGACGTACGATGTTTGGTTGTAAAGAGTGTTTGTCCAGACAACAGCTAGGAATTCGAAGTGTAGTTCCAGATTCTCAATCTCAGTGCAGTCAGTGCCAAAGAGCAGAGCAGAGTCTTCCAAGAAGTTTTAGGACAAAAAATAGAGTAGACTTTAGATGATGTTTATTAATTGGGATATCTAGATATTTTTACTAGTAATTATTGATAGAAAAAATGATAAGATATAAATGTAGATGGACGAGACTGGAAATCTGAAAGCTTGGTTTAACAAAGGAAAATCTTGTAACACTGAAAAAAGGAAGATAAGATTTGAGATATGACAATTTGGGAAGATCAGAATGAGGTCTGTGCTTTACAAGTAGAATACTAAAATTAATGGCCGAAGCCGAAAAAAACAAAACAAAAACTGTTCATTATAGTCCAAATACCAATAATAAATGTAGTTTTAAATCCCAACAAATCAAAAGTATAGTATTATAGTTTTACCTTTTTTTTTAATGTCTTTCTAATTCAAATTACACCAAACCTCACCAGATTTACAAAAAATATCTTGGTAAGCAAAAGAAACTTTCAAACTATAAAAGGGGGCTAGTGGTTGGTGGTACTATTGTAATTGAATTACCTTTCGACATTTCTGAGAAGAGTTAGATATTTCTACAAGCAGTATATACCTCAATAAAAAGATGAAAAAATACTGGGACATTTCTTCAAGAAGTTAAAAAAACTCCTCTTTGAAGATAATTCAAGAATTAGAGTAATGACTTTTGAATACTTACATTGATACGGATCGTAAGAGCATATTCGGAGGACTTAACATCTTCATGTCAGAGACCTTAAGAAATTTGATCCCCAAGTCTATCATTAGCCGAACTCTTTGTAAAGCGGGGATGTCTTTTTGCAAAGTTATATACAAGATCCTAATCTTAAGTGCTTACGAGAAGAAGCAGCTTGAATTTGCTAATCATGCCAGAGAGACTAATCAGATATGTGTATTACATAATATTGAGTAATAAGTCAAAATTTATACTTTCTCCCAAAGTTGAAAAATACTAGAATAAGGTGGTATACTAAAGTAAGATACAGAGAAAACTGTATTAGACCAAAATTTGTAATATGTCAAAGGTTTCATTCAGGTTTAGGATTACGTATGGGAAGTATAAGTCGGGTAATTGAAAGTCGTAAAAAACACTATTGACTAATACGCATACATGTACTTGTTGAAAAGGACACTGCTTTAATTTATGGAAATTTTCAACGAGAATAATAATAGAGAGTTCTTCCACTAAAAAGATAGTACTCACTGTCCAAAATCTAATTCTGTAGAAGATTGAAAAAAAAAAACTACCAGAAATTGACAATAGTAGTATGGTCTTTTAACAGACCAAACCCCAACTCCGGAGAGAATTTATAATAATATTTTACCAAAAGAGTGAAGGTAAGAGTCCAAGCTCCAAAAAAAATTAGTTAAGTTGGCGGCGGCTATCTATGTGGAATAAAATAATATTCCAATTGAAGTTTGTAATACAAAAGTGCAATACAATTCCTAATTGCATTACAATGCTTAATTGAATACACAAGATAAAGAGGGCCCATGGAGGGTCATCACACTATTGTTCTTTTTCAAGAACAATATATTTGTACTTATATGTTCTCAGAAATGTGTTTTCGAGGAAAAATTAACCAAATAAAGTAAAATAGAAGCTAAATAAGTTGTGCTATCGATTTATCAAAACCTAATAGTTATTATGACTATTATTTTTACAAATATTTATATATATATATATCTTGGTTGCAAAAAAGAAAGAAAAAACAAACGGATCTCAATACAAGATATTGTGTGATGATACTTCTTTATCTACATCTTAAGAATTAGAAATTTTCTGGACTCCTTGGAGTGATAGACAATTAGAAAATCAGCAAAATCATACGATATAAGAAATCTGCCTTAAAGTCAGTCTTTTGTATATCACATAATAAACCAGAAGTACATTAGATCTTAGAGCGACTTCAACAGCAAGGTAATTTTTAATTTATCTAAAGCCAAACAATGAAACTTTAGCTAAAGAAAAGCTCAATTTTCACAGCAGTTCAATTTACCTTTTTTCTTTAAATATTTTTTAGAGCGTTTTCATTAGAGCATCTTCAGCAGTCCACTTTATCTCCCCTTTTACATTAAATTTAAAGATTTAGCTAAAGTTTGCCCTCCCAGCAGTTCGATTAAATTCACTCTAAATATAAAAGACAGTCCCTTTTCTTTATCTTCCTATTAAATTTAATAGGAAGATAAAATTTATTGATGAAAACGCTCTCAAAATTTATTTAAAGAAAAAGATAAACCGAACTGCTGGGAAAATGAACCTTTTCTTTAGCTAAAGTAGCGGTGTTTAACTTTAGATAAATTAAAAGTTCTCTCACTGCTGAAGATGCTCTTATGAATTACAGTTAATGGCATTATATTCTAACAAGAAAAAAGCTATGGAAAAATTGTTGGCTATTGGCTATTGGAAAATGAAATAAATGGTAAATTTGTGCCTAACTTTTATATAATGTAACACTTCTACAGTCATAGCAATGACTTTGGGAATCCTAGTGAACAAATTGCTATATATTTACAGCGACTCTTCTGATATATGGTATGTAAGCCAATATAATATTACGTTTCCAATTCAATTTTCATTCTCAAGAGCTAAAGTCTTTAGATTAACTGTTTTTAATCAATAGAACCTTCAAGATTAGCAAGATGTCTAAAGTACTCCAGACCAAAAACAGTTACATTTATCCCTATACTCCGTTATAGATATATTTTAACAAAAGCAAGGAAAGAGACAAAGGTAAAGACAGTCAACCATATTATTTTTAATAATATTTTTAAAGACTAATAGGTTTTTATATTTTTTAAAAAAAAGAGACAAGAATATAAATATAATATCAAAGAAAAACAAGGGAAAATTTTATTGTTCAAAGTAAATGATTTTTGTGTACAAAGATTTTTACAAATTAAATACAAATTAAATTAAATTAAATAGAATATAAGATAGTCAAGTCCATGATAGTCCGGTCCAGCCCAGTCCAGTCCGGTTTTTTTTTTGAGAAATATTTCATTCGCTTTGCAAGTATATATGTAAAGAGGATTTTGCAGCTTATTGTAATAGAGAGTCTTGGTCCAATCCAGAGCGTCGCCTCGATCCAGAGCCAGGTTCCAATGCAGTGTTCCTTCAGTTTTGATTTGATTTGATTTGATTTGATTTGATTTGATTTGATTTGATTTGATTTGATTTGATTTGATTTGATTTGATTTGATTTCATTTGATTTGATTTGAGTTGATTTGATTTGAATTGTAAATGTGAGGTAAGCACCACAATAGAGTGAAGAACAGACTCCACTACCAAACACTGATTCCTTCTTGCGAATAAATCTGGCAAATTAACCATCTCCGGAACTATTACATACCAGGCACACGTACAATACCCACTTATACAATGTACTAACCATC